CCTCCGTCATATTTTATAGACCACTTCCGTACTTGACGTACTTTCTCTGAGTTCTTCTGTAGGCGTCTTTGTAGGTAGCAATTGTTCTTGGGAGGTTTCTTTGCCCACTACTTCTTCGAAGATGACTTTCCCATGCTTCTGTGACAAGCTTGCTAGCCGAGACGTCACTTGAGTGGAGTGCTCCATTCCAACGAACACTGATAGTCGTTTGCGGAGCTCCTCTACCGTTCCTGTTGAATCTTCATCGAATTCCTCGAGGTATTCAATCAGCTCATCCTTCTTCAGGTTTCTAATCCACGTCTTACTCATTATTACGAAGTTTCCTAAGTTGTATTCAGGGTCCCTGCTCGGGCGCCACTTGTAAAGAACCTTTTTTTTTTTCTTAAGCCGGGGTTTTTCTCGCCGGATCCCAGAGTCGTTACAAGAATATTTTTTCTCTGTAACCCTGAATCGTTCGTATAATAATTTTCAAGCCACTTAATTTTTTTTTAATTTCTTTATTATTTTTCGGAATTTATTTTACAATATTTATAACTTATTTGCTAATAAATATATAATACATATTAAGAATTATAATAAGAATTTTTAATTAATGGTGGATTTGGAACCAACACTACCGACAAGGCTGTGTTGCTTAGGAACAGTGTTACCGATAGGGCTACACTGATGAGCTTGGAACCAACGCTACCGACAAGGCTGCGTTGCTTAGGAGCAGTGTTACCGATAGGGCTACACTGATGAGCTTGGAACCAACGCTACCGACAAGGCTGCGTTGCTTAGGAACAGTGTTACCGATTGGGCTACACTGATGAGCTTGGAACCAACGCTACCGACAAGGCTGCGTTGCTTAGGAGCAGTGTTACCGATAGGGCTACACTGATGAGCTTGGAACCAACGCTACCGACAAGGCTGCGTTGCTTAGGAGCAGTGTTACCGATAGGGCTACACTGATGAGCTTGGAACCAACGCTACCGACAAGGCTGCGTTGCTTAGGAGCAGTGTTACCGATAGGGCTACACTGATGGACTAGGAAAATGTTATTTAAATATTTTTAATTACCTGTTTATACACTTGATCTGGCTCTGTCAAGTGTTCTGCTTCGTGGCCTGCCATAGAGTGCCTTTCTATTAAAAAATTCCTCTTTTTATATAAATTCTGGAAACGGGACTTCTAATTGTTGAGTGCACTTTGTACAGCTTTGTTATTGTCTATTCTAAGTGTCTGCGTCTGGCATGCTTACTGTTGCTGCACATTTAAAATTTTACAAAATAGTTACCCTCAAACAAAAAGGTGTGTTATTACTTAATTTATATTTTAAAAGGAATTGCTTTTAATTTTTATTAAATTAATATTAACTTAATGATACTGATTTTATATACTAACTTAATAATACCTTAATTTTAAACTTATTCATACCTTAATTTTTATTATTACCTTATACTAACATTTATTTTTATGTGTAACTTAACTAATAATAAACAAATTATATTTAACTAAAAATACCTTAATTCTATTGTTGTTTTTTTTTTTTGTTTATTTTATTTTCTTGTTGTTTGTTTGTGACGAGATTCTAAAACTCGTCACAACTTATCTTGGCAAGGGCATAGCACAATTAACTGAAAATTGTGATGTGTGCAAAATTGCAAATCCTGCTCACGCACGTGAATACGTAATATCGACTTTGCTGGCCCATTCTGTAATCTAATATGGCTAATATGTATGGACGCTTTCTCGCAATTTCCGTTCATCGTACAACTATCTATAACAACAACGGTTGACACCACATCAGCATTGTCTTCTATATTTTTCCTGGAAGGTATAACAGAAACCATCGTTAGTGACAATGGTCCTCAATTAACAGCTGAAGCATTCAAACATTTTTACTCAAAACTTGGTATCAAATATATAACAACAGCGCCGTTTCATTCAGTCTCAAACGGGTTAGTCGAGCGATTCGTCAGATCCTTTAAAACTGCTGTTAAGAAAGACATTGACGATGGATTGATCCTCAAATTCACTGTATCAAAATACCTTGCAACAATGCCGAATGCTGAAGGTAAATTACCTGCTGAACTTCTACATGGAAGGCCTGTTCGTACCCTGTTGAGTCAACTGTTTGAATCACCTAGGAAGCACCTTAAAACTTTGAAGCGAAAAATGAAATTCAGTCTAAAGCAACCTGTCTTCGTTCGAAACTACACAAGAGGGGAAAAATGGATAAAAGGAGAAATTGTGATACAACTTGGTAAAATGGTTTACCGAGTGAACACATCTTTTGGTAACATCAAACGTCACGTTAAATCAGCTTAAAACTAGAAGTACCTCTGACTTCTCTTCATTTCAATTTTTGAATTTGCTTCCAATTTCGTCAACGCAACACCGCCTTCATCTAGCCAATCAACATGAATATCTAGTGAAGAACGTTCTACCGAAGTAGTTCAACTTCGAAAAAGTGGACGTATTCGGAAGGATGTTAATCGATTTGAAGCCGACGATTTTAGGAAAACTTAAACCTTGTCAAAAATTAAGCGCGGAGAAATGTTACAATCTAGTATGTTTTGTAACATATTAGATTAAGCAATCTTAAATAATGAAATGTGAACAAAATTGAGTCAAATATAAACTGTCAATCGTGTCTGTCATATTTACTTATGTAAATTTCTATTTTTGGAGGTAAAATAATAAAATAACTAATACATTATCCCATTTTTATCAGTAAGTACAATAATTTTTTGTGTATATTCGGCTGAATAATGCCAGTAAGATACAAGGAGTCCCATTTGGGGCGTCATATGAGTAATGCAACAAACATGCGAAATAGTAGATCAGTAAGAACAGAAGAACAACTTCAACAAGATAATGAAAAATTGCGTGTGAGCACGTCGCAAATGCATAACTTCAAATACAAGAGGTACAAGCTGAATGAAATCAACAATAACAATTAGAACGGTGACAAGCGCGCCGGTTTGTAGTTAACACACGCAGAGCCAATGACTACGACAACAAGTACATCAGGTATTTATATCCATTTCATTCCTTCGTCTTGCATTTGAGTAGGAACCAGATATTGAATATTCCGCACATCCGAAAGTGGATAAAAAATGGTTCTATCGACAAAGAATGCCCTTATTGTCATGCACTCAAATTCAAACAGGAATCAGAGGGGATGTGTTATGCATCAGGAAAAGTGTAGCTACCAGAAATTGAAAGACCACCAGAAGCCTTGAATGGCTTGCTCATTGGCATACATGAAGATTCATACCTATTCCTGAATTCCATTCGCACATTTAATTCATGCTTCCAAATGACTTCTTCTGGAGCAACGGGATTTGTTTACAATTGATCAACGATTCAATTCAAAGTTTATAATCAAATGTCAGGTGTATCACAAAGTAGTATTGCTGCCAATGCCAAATGAACCATATAAAATCGACAGATAAAGTTTGTGATGCCAACGAAGCTGTTAATGACCCAGCAGAGTTTTTAAACTCACTGGATGTGCCAGGCATGCCACCACACTTTCTATGACTGTAAGTTGGATCACCGGTTATTTTACTTCGGAATTTGAACCCACCACGGCCATGCAATGGTAAGCGATAGGTAATTAAAAAATTGATGTAAAACATTATCAAAGCCACCATTTTGAGTGGCAAATTTCGAGACGAAAAAGTTTTACTGCCACGAATTCCAATGATTTTCACAGACGAGCTAATTGAACTCAAACTTTCTCTTCGAATTTTTTTTTATCAACTACGAGAGAAGTATTTGTTGCAGTGACAAAACCCAGTCTTGCAGTCACCTGAAGCTATGCCAACAGTAAAAAGAAAGCGCGAAAATTTCGCGGTTTGTCCATTTTGCGTTGATGTTGGGCGACAGGTTAATATTATAATGTCAGTGGTTTG